AGTTGAAAATTACAGACCAAGCTCTTTATGCTGCATCACCTGTAAAGTCATGGAATCAATTATTAACCAATCTATCATCCTCCACTTAGAAACAAACAACCTACTCTCTAATAAACAATTTGGTTTCAGAAAAAACTATCCTGTAATCTGCAACTCTTATACTGCAAAAACATATGGACTAAACAACTCGATCAGGGCAAAGCAATAGACACAATCTACATAGACTTCTGTAAAGCCTTTGATTCAGTGGTACACGACAAACTACAACTAAAACCAAAATCCTATGGTACCTCTGGACACCTGCATAACTGGATAGAAGCATTCCTGCCAAACAGGCAACAAATGGTCAAAATTGGGAGCGCCCTATCAAATCCTGTACCTGTCAACAGTGGTGTCTCCCAAGGCAGCGTTCTAGGACCAACTCTCGTCATACTCTACATAAATGACCTCTGTGATTATATTAAGAGCAACTGCGTTCTTTTTGCTGACGACATAAAGCTATTCAACACCACTGACAATGCTGTTACCCTTCAAAAAGACCTCGACTATGTATCAGAATGGTCAAACAAATGGCAACTTCAAATCTCAACAAATAAATGCTCTATCTTACATATTGGCAAAAAAAATAAAAAAATAAAATACAAGCTGAATAGTCAAGGCATTGTTGATGACCAAAACTTTGTCAAGGACCTTGGAGTACTCATCTCTAATAATCTAAGTGCTAGAGCCCACTGTAACTACATAGCCAAAAAGGCATTAAGAGTTGTTAACCTAATCCTGTGTAGCTTTTTCTCCAGTAATATCACTTGACTAACTAGAGCATATAAAATATTTGCTAGACCAATACTTGAATACAGCTCATCAGTCTGGAACCCGCATTGCATATCTGATATTTATCCAATTGAGAAAGTCCAGAAATATTTTACGAGAAGAATCCTCCACTCCTCTTCTTGTAGCTGAATACCTTATGCCACAGACTTGAAATTTTAGACCTAGACAACCTAGAACTACACCGCCTTCGGTTCGATCTAAGTATAATATATAAAATTATATATTGCAATGTTCTACCTATCAATAAATACTTCAGCTTCAACCAAAACAATACAAGAGCACAAAATAGATACAAACTCAAGATAAACCGCACCAAACTTGATTGCAGGAAATACGACTTCAGCAACAGAGTCGTCAATGTCTGGAATACTCTATCTGACTCTATGGTTTCTTCCCCAAACCCCAAAAACTTTAACCTTAGACTGTCTACTCGTGACCTCACCCCTTTCCTGAGAAGTCTATAGGGGGCATGCAAAACGTGCCTACCATCCCTATCCTATTGTTTCTTTTCTTTTTCTTATTCATATCCATTTCATGTATTTATAACCATGTTTATACTTATACCTGTTATCTAATAATTGTTTGACAAAATAAATAATAAATAAATAATTATACAGAATGGAACATCAAGCAGGTTGTATACTTTGCTATTGACATTGTGAAACTAAGAAGAAGGGGTTGAAATAAACCAGAAAGAATTAAGATCAGATTGGATGATAAAACAGGTTTTCAAATTTGAACAGTAGAATTAATCACCTGCCAAGGGGAGAGGGAGGAGGCCCTGAAAAGATTTATTTCATATCAGAAAGTGAGCAAGAAAGAAAAACAATGGCTCAAACAGCAATATTAACAGAAATATTTTTGAATAATGAGCATATATGGCAGCAACTGACGTTTGCACTTATATTGCTCTTGTCTAGCCCAACCATAGAACTTTCTTGCTCCTTATAAATACAACAGATATTTCTGAGTGTCAGAAGATTTGGGAATTATTGCCTATGTGGTGGGTCATAATGAGGAAAGCACCCCAGGGATGATCTTGCTTTTGTAAAGACTCAAAAGTAGCAATTTGGACTACAGCTTTAGCCACCAGTAGCACAATTGAACACAGAATCATAGGGCTGGAAGTGGACACTGGAGATCAAAGCAGGAGATTGTCCAGTGTATTTTTGAATAGTACCCACAACTCCAAGGGGCAAGGTATTCCATTGATAGTTCTCATTATCAGAAAATTTCCCCTTACTTTTAGGTTGGATCTCTCTTTAATAAGCTTCCACCTACTAGTCCTTATCCTGCCATCTGGTGCTTTGGAAAATAAGTCAATCCCCTTTTCTCTGTGATAGCCTGTCAAGTACTGGAAGAGAGTTATCATGTCACTTCAATCCTTCTCTTCGATAGAAAAGCTACCTAGCTCCCTCAACCCTCATACAATTTAGCTCCCAAACCCTATTTCATCTTTGTTGCTCTTCTCTGCACACTTTCCAGGATCTCAGCATCCTTTTTGTATTGCTCAAAGAGGAAAGGGGAAATAAAAGCTGCTTCTTAATTACTAAAATGTCTTCTATCCAACCCCAAGTAAGGGATCTGAATTTGAACCCATTGCTTTTCTTTTCCTCTTGGAAAAGCTTATGTCTGTTGTGTGTCTCACAGGTAGAATCAGAGGTTTTCTCTATTCCTTGCAGGCTCTAGCAAAATGCATTAGACATTCACAATGAGAAGAGAAGGTAACTGAGCAACTGCATGGAAAACTAGTCAAACAATGTTAATTACAGGTTTTAAGCAACTTGTTTTTTTTTTCCTATGTGGTCTCATTGCTGTCACGTACATTGAAGATTAGCAAACTGATCTTCCCACAGGTAGGTGCTCTGTCAAAATTTTTAGGATTTGTTTTGGCATCTTATATCCATCTTAAAATGCCCTTTAAATACATATGATTAATTTAAGATCCCAAGAGGAAGACCTGTAGTGAAATTATTGAGCATTCTTTAGCAAACAAATTACTACTGTGAATGCAAAGTAAGAGAAATAACAATAGAAACAGAATCAGATCAAATATATGCTCAGCTGAGCATACTCTTTCATATAAATGCAAGCAAACTGCTCTGGAACAGGAGAAAAAGGGTGTTTTCTTTGAGGCTCAAGGTAGCATAAATCCATGATGACTTGTGAACCTTGACAGATTTGTCTTTCTTTATAGAAATTGAATCTCTTGCAGATCCATCCAAGTGAATTGTTAAGTGGAACTCTTGCCTCCCACAGTTGCTTTATCACAGGAGCTTTTCAAGAAAAGATAGAACAACCATTTGTCCAAGATGGTATAAGGAACTTGGACAAATGAAGGTTGGACTGGAAGACCTTCAAGGTCCCTTTCACCTTACAATTCCATGATATTTGTATGATATTTGTTATAGAGGAAAAGACTTAACAGAAATAAAGTCTGGAATGAGCTCATAATCAAACTAACAGTGGATCTTCCGATAAAACTGAGTGAACCAAAATTGTAGGATAGCTTAATTTTCCTAGGATGCATCTTTGAATATTTCAGAAATCATATTTTTGATCTTAGTAAAGTATGCGATCCTTAGAAGCTCTGCTTTTACCACATTTTAACCGGGTCTGCAGAAGGCAGTGAGGAATTCTAGAAATATGAAAGGATGGACCAGTGATCCCAATCAATTAGCCAAAGTATCTTATGTTTTGCTCTAAACCTCCTATACATGGCTAACAATCTCATCACTTTACTCAAGTTGTGGAAACATCTAAATTCATTCAATTGGCCCATTTTGCAAATTTAGTTCTCCAAGAAAAGGAGCTGGAGAGAAAGTGGCTGAAAAATCAAAAATCAAAAGTCTCCCTTCCTGAGCTAACTGGCAGCACTGAACATACATTTCAAAACAGGCTGGTGTGACCAAGCTATGCCTATTACTACTAGTGAAAAGGGGCTAATGAATTGATGTAACCTTGTCAGGGGGAAAAAAATGGCTGGAACTTCAGTAAATTCCAAAACTGGTGTCTATGGAGATTCTCAATCATCCAGGTCATGGTTGTCCCAAAGATGCTTTTCTAAAAGGCAACTGGACTTTTTGTTCCTTAAAAAGTTTCAGTTATCATCCAAGAAGCTTCTTTACATCTTAGAACTTCAGTTCATCAGAACGGAAGAAGCTTTTTGGATGAGAGGTGAAACTTTTTCAAGGAAAAAAAACCCAAAAAGTCAAATTGCCATTTAGAAAAGCACTTTTGGGACATTCAAAACTGGTGACTTTGAACCAGAATGATTCCTATTGGATTTCATAACATTTTATTAAATGTTTGCTACTTATTCCCAAAGGCTTTGGGTGGCCCACAGCAATCAAAGAGAGAAATTGTGATAAAACAGATAATTAGGAAAAAAATAAAGGTGAAAGAGAGCAGAAGTGATAGACCAGATGGGGTCTCAGGACTCTCAAAAATCATTCTGTAATCTTATGCTAGACTATTGAAACTTGCAAGATTTTTGGCAACTAAGGAGCAGGAGTGGGCTTCAAATTTTTAGCAAGGGGCTCTCTGCCTTAATGACTGGCTGGCTGGGCGTGACTGGGTGGGTGTGGCCAACTCGACATTGCTTGTTTGCTCTAATTACCTAAAAAATGATAATATATCAAAATATTGTTCATGATTTCATGCATTTAATACTTAAATAAAAGACTGGGTGAAACCAGGCTTAATAGCAGTGACTGTGAGAGGGATCTAGGCGATCTACTTCATGGAGTTTCTGGTGAATTACGTGATTTTTATTATTGGGAATTAATCCCTTCAGAGGCCAGTGGCTATGTGATCTGATTTTCTCAATGGCTTTCCCTCTCAAGCACTGAGTGGATTATTTATCTAGCTTGCAACACTTTTACGAGGTGTGAAATGCTCTTGGCTGAATGCCCAGAAGTTCAATTAAGCCTATTAAGAGTTTTCCCTTGCTGCTTGTCTTTCTGAAGTTATTGAGGGCTCTCTGCATCCTGCTAGGGGTTCTCCCGAGCCCCTGTGAGCCCCCAGCAGCCCACCCCTGCTAGGGAGGCAACTGGGGAATCAGGATTGGGAAATGGGGCAGCCGCACCTTCACCCTGTTTTTTTTTCTTCCTGAGCTCTCTATCAATGTTGTGAGTCAGGCTGTGTAATTAAAATGGCAACATACTTACGCACACAAACAGGAGTCTTCCCAGACCAGTGGTGATCTTGCTGGCAGATGCGGACCGACATGCCAATGAGCCGGAAGCCAGGGTTGCACTGGTACACTACACTGCCACGGTAATTGTAGTTCTCTCCATTGATCTGGCCATTGACTATAGAACCTGGCTCACCACAGTGACCCGCTGGAGGGACAAGTAAACAGGAGGAGGTAGAATTACTGAGAGTCCAATATAGAACGAACCCTTCCTGGATACCTGGTTTCCTGTTGTACTTTAGGAAAGTTACTATAGATGTTGCCTTAATTCAGAAAATTCTTAATGCAATATAAAATGGAAACCAGACATTTTTCTTTTAGGGATATTGGAGAAAGAACTTGAAAAAAAATGGAACTTTGTTATTATATGTGCTGATGGTGGTGTGAAACTTCTATGCACAAAAATGGAAAGACCCTAAGTTAATGCTCACAATGGAAGAACAGGTGGAAAAAAGTGATAGAGTTGGTGGAGAAGGCAACACTAATTATCTTACATTAACAAGAAAAACTTAAGTCAGTTTTGTTTCCACTTGAAAACCGCTTCTGGACTTTATGCTCAAGATAGAAAAAAAATGAAATTTTGATTTTTGGTCCCTAAAAGAACTTGTTCCTACATTGTGCATACTCTCTTGGATATAAAGAAGATATAAAGAAGAACCCCTTTCTTTATATGGGTGGTGAGTCAACATTGCCAAGAGACTGTTAAAATTATTGGTTTTTTAGATATTTATAGGGTTTTTTACCCACTGCTAATATTTTTTAAAAGATACGTTCAGTTATATCAGGTTTCCAAAGACGGCATCAGGCAACTCCGACAACGAGAGAGAAGTGGAAAAGTCTTTTGTATGTATTAAACAGTTATAAAACTGAGATAAAAGAAGAACAGCAGCAAGAATCCATTACAGTTTTCATTAATTCTGTTTATTAAGACTATTCAAGACATTTCTCCATCTGGAGCTGATAATAAAGTGTAAAATAAGGTTTAATTTAACCAAAAGCAAAATAAAAGTACTTCTGGTAGCAAGAGGCTTGTCTGATATAGTATTTCATTCTTCAGCAAGAAGAAAAAAGAAATGATACAAATTAAAAGCAGCTGGTTAAAATATACGGTATACATTTATCAACTGACATTGTGGTGGATTAACCCATTGCTTTCATCTGACCTTGCAGTTCTTTTGAAAGATGGATGCAGAAATGACATGATGAATGGTCCCCTAAGTCTCCTATTTGGGGCTCGGAATGGCCCCCAGCTGATCAAGTTGATGTTAGTCTTATACTCACCCAGGCATGTCACTTCTAGTCCACTCCAAAGACCATTGGCCATACATTCTCGCACACGAGAACCCACTAAGGTGTAGCCACTATTGCAGGAGAAAATTGCAGTAGCTCCATAAGAGGTTAAGGTTCCAATCCTGTTTCCATTGGATGGCACGGGCAAATCTCCACAGGAGATGACTGAAATTAATAGACACACACAAACAAACTTAGTTAATATAGGTAATAAAGCATCTCAGGTATTGTTCTAGAATTGAGTTTGTCCATTCACAGCCATTTGTCTGTGGATAGTGTGAAGAACTAGGTCCCTGGTCTGTGCCTAATAGGTCCAGAAAGGCTCTCCAGAACTTTGACATGAATTGGATCCCCCTCCTGTGTCCAAGATGATATGTTGGAGAGCTGCATGCAGTCTATAAATATGGTATAAAAATAATTTGGCAAGTCCTGTTGCTGTTGGTATCTTCTGGCATGGAATGAAATGCATCTGTTTTGAAAACAGATCTGTCACCACCCAAATGACATTTCCTATATTCTTTTGGGGAGTTCCACAATAAAGTCCATAGAGATCCCTCTCCAGAGATCTATCAAAGGACAAAGAAGAGCTCACTGTTTCTTCAGATATGGGTGTGTATGTTACAGTAAGTTGCAGATTGTTGAATCATCCTTTATTTAATCAACCTCAAGTGGATAGTTTTGTAGAACATATGATGGAGGATTTCACGGTACTCATTAAAATGCATTTTAGCATGCTGTCAAGAAGTAACTAAGTCTTGTGACTTTACAACTCCTAAGCCAAGTTTTGTGGATTCCCAAATCCTCCTGCTTTACAAGAACTTTGGCAAGAAAAAGTGAGACTTGAGGTGGCATGATTTTTTAATAAGAAAATAATTTTAGCCATCTGCTCATCCAGCAAAAGCTGTGAGTCTAGAACTGGGCTGTCACTCCTGGTCTGTGGGTCGGATGTGTCACACGTGGCCGTGCCCATGTCCAGTTTAGCAAAGAGGAAAAAAGTCCTGATACATCATGCCGCCATGATGATGTGAGTTTGGCACCCCTGGTCTAGAAAGATCTCACATTGTGGACAGCTTCTGAATGCTGGGGTGGGTGGATGGGGGGCGGGGGTTACAATGCCTTTCTGAGTCAGATAGGATTTCCCTGGAATTTAGGCCTATGGATCCAAAGCCAGTCTGTCTTGGAGGAATTCAAGCAGTCTGTTCCTCACTATCTAGGCCTTGGAGTCTCCAAGCATGCAATCACCTGTTTGTCCCAGGATGAAATGTATAATTGGGTATTATCAACGTGATTGATGGTACTAAACGGTGCTGATTTTCCCTAGCAATTTCATTTCCATTTGGAAAAGAAATGACGAACAAAGAGAGACCTAAGGCATGCCACAAAGAAGAAGTCTTTGGGCCAAACGTCTCCCATGCCATGCCATCCCTACACAGGAATGTTTCCTCCAGGAAGGAAGAGAACATTGCAAAACAGTGTTATGAACTCCAATTCCTCAGAGATGGTACAAGAAGACAGCATAGTTGATAGCATCAAATGCTGCTGAGAGATCATGGAGGACCAGATTTCAGTCACTCCTCAGATCAACCCCAAGCACAGCCAATACAGTTTCCATGCTATATGTGTCAGCCCTGGTGTGCCTGGAAGCCCAGGGCTGCCATTCCGGTGGGAAACAGAAAAACGGAGATTGCCTTTTCCGTAGGGACTCAAGAACGGCACAGCAACCATGACGCTAAACTCACTGGACCGCTGAGCCCACGCCAGGCCTGCTGCCGCTGATGAAATAAACGCCAAACAGCTATTGGCCAGCCACGTGGCTGAAGCAAAGGCAGATGCTTGAGAGAATGAGCACTGAGTGTGGCTGGCGATGGAACTCTGCGGGCCTCCCTGCTTAATGTCAACTGAATCGGCTTAGGGACGAATGCGGGTGGGACACGCATGTGAGAGGCTAGGCAGGCTAGGGAACATTTCAAAACTGGTGAGACATTAACTGGACACTTAGTCCTGACTTTGAATTTACAATTGATGTATGTCAGTTCGTGCCAATGTTTGTGAGAGATAAATTTAAATTTCAGAACTGTGTTTTGGATTTTTTCTTTTTCTTTCTCACTTTACATTGGAACCTGACAATATCCTGGCCTGAATCAATTACTACTAAGACAAATAATCTTCTTCCTGTAGGGCTTTCTGAAGATATAGAAGCACCACTTTCTTTATAATCTTTCCTAAGAAGGGAAATTTGGAGATGGGTTTAACATTTTTCAGAACATCAAACTGAACAAAGACTTCTAAAGCAGGACACTTCCCACCACCTCTTTCAAAACTGAGGTAAATATCATCTCAAAACCAGTCGGCTACTGCTCAGATCCAACCTTTTGCCACCTTATGGGAGGCTTTAACTATGTGGAACAGTGATCAATTGGAAAGCAGCACAGCTAGCACTTTATTTATTTATTAAATTTATTTGCAGAGACTTAGCTGCTTCCTCAAGACTCATAAACTCAAACTGACCCCAGACTCTTTCATTAGACAAAGCCACAGTCACTATTAGCCTTATGAAACATCCTTCTCCCTGATATTAAGAAAGCTCTATCCCCTGTCACATTCCAGAAGTCCCTCAAGACCTAATTATTGAAGCAATAATGGGTCATCCAGGGAACTGGAGAGTTGCTTAGACAACTTCATTGTGGCCATTCTTACTTATCCTTTCTTTGAGTACATTTGTTTTATGATATTTATTTTTTAACCTGGAATGCATATTTTTATATTTCTTGTTTCTTATATATTTACACATTTCTTGTATTTGCTGTTACTCACTTGTTTTGCAAGCCCACCCCACCCCAGTGTCATATTATCCTCCCAGAGGCACACACTGTTATATTCTTTTTGATTTTTCATTCCTAAAACACACACTCACTTCTACAGGTCGGCATAGGTTCTCCTATGCTCCATTTCCCATTCGCCTGGCAGCCAATGACACGATACCCAATGTAATAGTAGCCTGGGTCACAGATCAACATGAGTTGTGCGTTGTACTGGTACTGAGTTTCATGGATCAGCCTCCATCTCCCATGTTCCACAGCAATGCTGCTGATGTCAGGACAGCTGACCGCTGGATTCACCAAGAGATGAAAAGAGAAACAATCTAAGTTACACTAAAGGCCCATTCATCTGTCTGTTCTAACTGAGAACAACCAGCTGAAAGCTATAAATAAGAGGAGAATGTTGTATTTGTCATTGTCACTGAACAGTCTGAACTGAATTTGTTCTAAACTGGTGGCCATTTGGAAACGGATCCAAATTTGTCACAAAGCTGAATGAAGTGAGGATACAAACCTCTGAGGCAACATTGAATGATTTCTGAACAAGGGGAACAATGAACCTGATAACTAAGTGGAACATTAGTATCTATAGGACGACAACAGATGGGAAGGCAAGTCTATTAAAGGTGTTTAGCTGTGTCAGCTAGAAATTGAGCTTCCACCTTTTGATATAACACATACTTGCATATAATAGAAAAAAATCAATATAGAAAGAGTTACATCTTCATGGGAAGTTCTATCTCAAGGAAACTAAAGCATGTGCAGAGAAAGGGAAAAAAGTGACTTAAATTGCTCCACCAAAACCATGGACAAAATTATCTGGGAAGATGATTCTTTTGAGTTTCTCCATACAGAATCTCCCTTCACCAGCAGAGTAGCAGCCCAGCCAATAAAGGTCCAGCAGGAGGATTTCACTCATGAGATCTTTCTTTGGGTTCGCATAAAAGAAAATATCTGGCCCTGTGGATCAAGAGGTTTATATTTCTATACAATACCCTCTCTCTAATTTCCCAATAAGCATTTAACTAACTACTGTTTCCAAGAGACCAACTAATGAGGTGGTCTTTTAACTCTGACACAATAAGCTTCTGGTTACTTTTGAAATGATTCTGGATGCTTATTAAGACAAAGGCATCATACTTAAAAAGAGACAAAGAACATGGAAGGTTGAAGGTGGACCACGTTAGACTCACCCATACATGGAAGAGGATTATTGCCATTGCTCCACTGTCCAGTAGCCAGGCACTCCACGCTGGAGTTATCTTGGGCCTGGAGATGAAAGCCCTCTTTGCATTGGTAAACTGCTTTGCTGCCCATGGTGTACTCTCTGCCAAAAACAACCCCGTTCTTTGGAGCTCTGGGAACTCCACAGGAGATTGCTTGGAAGAAAAAGTTAAGACACGTGATTGCTTGCCTTCATACAAAGTCTAGCTGTGCTTCAAAACTTAACCTGTTTTCATTCTCGTGAGTCTTCCCTATCCAATACATATATAGTAGTGTTCACAGTAAACAAGGATGCCCCAAATATAGGTGTTATGACATCACACAAATCCTGCGAACATATACTTGATGTCTTGAGGCAGGTGCAGAACTCAGGGTGGCCTATGCATAACAGAGTCATCACACATGTGTTGTGATGCATCCTTATCACAATACATTGTGTGATGCATTCTTTGCCATCCCCAAGCTCTCAAGACTTTCATATGCTTTCACCAACCTCCAAAGATACCCATCTGTGTAGAAGCATACTACTTGGATTTCTTTTTGCAAAACATACAGACATACTTCAGTGGGACTTCCTCTAAATGAGCCAAAGACAAAAGCATATAAATTAATATATAATCCCCAATGAGGGACAATGTGTGGGTTGAGAAGTCAGCTAATTTGTGACCAATATTGGTTGGGGTTATGGTTCCTTTTGAACAGGGAAGATTTGCCTAAAATGTCTGTGACAGTAGCTCAAATTGTTTTGAGCTTGTGATGATACCCAAGAACAGACCTTGCCCTAGGCCTACCTTGATTTATGCGACTTGAAGTCTATCTTTGAAGGTGATCAGAAACCACAGTTCATACAACTGCTTAGAAAATGACAAGGAAAAACAGTTGGAAGATGGGCCATCTTTAACAGTCTAAAAATATTGACCTTTATGATTTGGACTCAGACTACTGCTCAGACTACTGCTACTCCATCTTTACTTCAAGACTGATTTCCAAATTCTTTGTATAAACTCAAGGGATAGGTCCTTTTTAGCTGAGTTCATAGATTTGTAGATTATTATCCTAACTGAAATACTTTAAACCCAGGTATCATAGATCATAGAATAACAGAGTTGGAAGGGACCTCGGAGTCATCTACTTCAATCCCCTGCTCGAGCAGGAGAGTCTATTCCAAATATTAGCCTCTACCTAGGATTGAACTCACAGCCTTCTGATTGTGAGGCAAGAGCTCTTTTAACCAAACTTTAAATAGCTGTTTATTTTGAACTGTCAGCACTAGGATTTTTTAAATTTGATATACTTTTAAATGTTGCGTGGAATTGGTAGTACCTTTATTGTTTTTGTTGGAATATCTTAATATCATATTTAATTATAGTTTGTTGTACTTTAAGTCTAATAGTGTCATTGTCCTAGTTTTTTATTTAGGTGATCCATTTGATTTGTAGCTTGGAAATTGCCTTTTGAGGACCTACATAACCCTAAAAGGGGCATATTTTTAAACAACATCTGTTTCCTCTTAAACAACCATTTATGGATCTACTGTCGTTGTATAAACAACTCATCATTGTGAAGTTAGAATATTTATAAACTTGTTATGTTGTCATAGCAATTTAGCCAATGCTTATTTCAATTAAATGAATTCAAACCTGTGGACATACTGGACTATCTTTTCCCTGATGCAATTGCCTGCAGGCTAACCTGGGAGGCCAACGGCCATCAGAATTGTGATTAGGAATCTCTGCTTAAACATAAGCCAAGTTAAAATGATAAGCTAAAGCTGCAGCATAAACATCCAAATAGCATTTAGATTTTAAAAAAGGTCCTTTATGAGAAAAAGAGAAGAATGAATAAGAGGAAATAGTAGGCTGGAGAGGGATTTTGAAAGAACAGCTATAGTAGATGGTGAAAGAAACACATAACATAATATGAAGGTGTAATTTGTTACAGCAGGGCCTTCATAATCAAGGACATAGGCTCCTTCTACAATAGGGCCTATTGTATTGGAAATAATTAGCATAAGCAGGGAAGGTAGGAAGGAAAGAAGGAAGGAAGGAAGGAAGGAAGGAAGGAAGGAAGGAAGGAAGGAAGGAAGGAAGGAAGGAAGGAAGGAAGGAAGGAAGGAAAACAGATCCAGCTGTCCAGTGTGGGTGTCATCAGTCACATCCTAGCTTTGTGAAGATAATTGTGTACATGTCACCCGAACCACTAAGGAGATCAGCAAAACCTTTGGCAAGGCCAGGCGTCTAGACAGCTAAGTGTGATGAATACCAATTTCATGTAGCAGCGACAGCAAGGGAAAAGGACAGGAGGCTGAAAATCCATGCTTTTGACTGATTCGGCTCTGTAATCTCTATAACCTTCAAGGATTACCTTACCCAAACAATTTGGAGGGCCACATGGGCAGCTCATCCACCCCAAATTGTCTGCCAGTTGTTAAACGCTTTGTTCTCCCTATGACCCCTGTAGGGTTTTTGCATGTGGGAAATTGATGAGTGGATGGGAAGGTTGGGGAGGGGGGTGCTGGTTCTTTTGCTTCACTCTTTCAATGAAAACTATATAGTTTGTACTGTACTTAATATTGTACTCCAGTTGAGACTCCTAATGAAAAATGTGCATTCACGTTATTTGGGATATTGTATATTTGATGTGGAATAGATATCCTTCTTCAGCCTAGTTGGTTGCATTGACGTCTGAGAATTTATTGAAGGAGATAAACTTTGATCCAAATGAATAAGAGTTTACAGAGGGAAAAATGAGGGGTTTAAATGTCTATAAGCTACACTTTAAAGAATAAGAGGAAAGAGGATCCTCAGAGATGCTAAAGTGAACCGTGGTATAGTAGAGATTTACGGAAATATTAAGCTAATTGCTGTAGGCATGATGGAATTAGTGAACCAGAGACCTAGAGGGCTTTTCCCCCTCCCAAAGCTCAAGAGAAAGAAAGAAAGAAAGAAAGAAAGAAAGAAAGAAAGAAAGAAAGA